TGTGAAAATGCAAATGTGTGGCAGGGAAGATCAAAGGTGATAAGAGTTAATAGATGTGAGACAGGTATGTGGAGGGGAACAAAAGAGGGGAATGTTGACAGGTGATAAAACTGATAAAACATGGCTGGTAAAATGTAGAGAGGTTACCTGGGGTTATCAGATGGCAGGCATGTATAATGTGGCACATTATAATGTTATTGGGTGTGCCTGCTATCCGATAACCCCAGATAACCTCTCTACATTTTATCATCTGTGGACATTTCCCATTTATTTTTCTCCTCCCCACCTACCTGTCTCATACCTATTAACTCCCATCCCCTCTGATCTTCCTTGTCATGCATTTTGCATATTGGTTTAAGCTTCCATTTGACATGAGAGAGAACACCAGCAGACTGACCCCAATCCTGAAGAAGGTGCTTGTGCCTGAAAGCTTGCAAAGACCAATTTTTTTCAACTATTTAGTTGGTCTAATAAAACATCACATTTTCCTAAATTACTTTGTCTGCCTACTTATTTGGTGGAAATTCTACTTTATAATTCGGTTGTGGTTATCCTGGGCAAGTGCTGATTACAAAGCCCTGAATTAAATTTGTAAATGCATGGGACAAAGCATTTTCAGTTGAGGAAGATCCAGTTTTTTAGAATTAGCTGCCAGAGGAGATTAGACAAATCCCTGGTATGTCTATGTGAGTCACTGCTGTGACTGCATTTTCTGTGGATATAACCAAGCTACCTTTAAAGTAGCTGCCCTTGAGAGCCCACAGCAGCATGGAACTTTACACAGGTTACAAAACTGCTGAACAATATACAATCAGGACTCATAGTAGAGATGATATCTTTTATTAGACCAACAACAGTTACCAAGCATGAAGACCATCAGGGGAGAATGCATAAGAGTGCTTTTTAAAAACTGTTTCATTTGGACAATGGAGGCTGTCAGCTTGGGCTGATTTGGAGTTGGGAGCTGACATTTTGCTAGCAAGTAAAAGATAATAGGGAGTGTGGGGTAAATTGAGTGGCGTTGAAAAGAAAGATAAGTAGCTTGCATTTGATGCAGTATATTAGGAGGAGGCAAAGAGAGGTGACATGGTTCAAAGCATTCATTTAGGAAAATTGTCTTTGCAGCAATATTGTGAATAGATGCAACAAGGCAAATTTAGTGTTCAGGCCCTAAGGAAAGGGTGTTCATAGTTTCTAGGGTCGGAAGGGACCTGAGCAGATCATCAAGTCCGACTGCCTGCCTTGGCAGGAAAAAGTACTGGGGTCAAACAACCCCAGCAAGGTGTACATCTAGCCTCCTGTTAAAGACCCCCAGGGTAGGAGCCAGCACCACTTTTCTTGGAAGTTGGTTCCAGATCCTAGCCGCCCTGACCATGAAGTAGCGCCTCCTGATATCTAGCCAAAATCTACCCTCTGCTAGCTTGTAACTGTTATTCCTGGTCACTCCTGGTAGCGCATGGGGGAACAGGAACTTCCCCAGTGCCTGCTGGTCCCCTCTGACTAGTTTGTAACAGGCCACTAGATCCCTCCTCAGCCTTCTCTT